GCGGTTGCGCAGGGGACGGCGGGGTGGGTTTTGTGGAGGGGTGCTGAGTTGTTGTATTGGGCGGGGGATGTGGTGACTGATGTGGCGAGGTTGGTGATGTTGAGGGGGTGAATGAGGTGTATTGTTGATTATATTTGTATTTGATATAATATAGAAGGGCCTGGTTGCCCGCTTGGCTAATATTCCGACTTGTCTCTTTTCCAATACACGGGGCCAGCTGCTAGCGTATACGTCGAGGGTATGTTCCAAACAACGCTATGCCTTCCCAGCGGCTTTGATCCCGTTTGCCCCCGTCTCGATTACCGTGTATCCATCCGCGTTCCCTTCTCCCTCGGCGGCCCTTGTGTAAGCCTCTTCACTCCTGTCACACAACACATCCAGGTCCTTATCACTCAACACCTCTTTGTCCCCCGAGAAGTTGTACACCTGTCCATCCTTCAACAACAGCGCCTGGAGCGTCTCCTTGTCCAGGTCCTCGCGCATATCAATCTTCTGCCCCATCGTCCGGAACCCGCCCTTCTTGATGACCAGCTTCTCCAACCGGCGTTTCGCATCGGCACTCATAAGCAGCCCCTCTTCTACCGTCCCCTTCGTCGCAAGCCGGTACACGATGACAGGCCGCGTCTGGCCGATGCGGTGTGCCCGGTCTTGAGCCTGCAGGTCCTGCTGCGGGTTCCAGTCGCTGTCGAACAGGATGACCGTGTCGGCGCTGGCGAGGTTGATGCCCTGCCCGCCGGCACGGGTGGACAGCAGGAAGATTTTGAGTTTTGGGTCCGTGTTGAACTGGTGGATTTCTGTGCGCCGGTCTTCCTGGGCAACGCCGCCGTCGATGCGGCAGACGGGCCACTTGCGCAGTTCGGAACAGTAGTCTTCGAGGATGTCGAGTTGGGTTTTGAACTGCGAGAAGATGAGGACCTTGTGGCCGCGCTTGAATAGGGTTGGAAGCAGGCGGTCGAGAAGAAGCATTTTGCCCGAGGCCGTCACAATGCTCTCGTCGATGGGTAGGTCGGTGCCGCTCGCCCAGGGGTTGTAGAAATTGTGCGGACTGTTGCAAACAAGTCGGAGCTGGAGCAGGGGGTTACCGAGCTTTTTGTTGGCAATTTCCCTTTCTGTGGGCAGTTAGTAAAAGCAGACTTCAACGCAACAAGATGAATACGTACTCGCAACCTCGAGGGTTTGGGCACGCTCGAATTCCTCTTCGTCCACGACCTCCTCCACCACCTTGGGCTCATCCTCACCCATCTGCTCAACAAGTTTGGCCTCGAACTCATCGTCATCCAGTAAATCATCGTCCGAGTCGGACTCCTTATACGATTGCCTTCCCCTTTGCGGCCTGCGGCGGGTACTGGCTGGGGTGGACTGTCTGCTGGATTTCGTACTCTTGGTGGCCGGCGACTCAGATGCTGGTGGACTCTTTCTCTTTGTCTCTTTCTTTGCCGATTTAGGGGGAACCTCGGCAGCCAATTGCTCGACAATAGCGGGGGCCTTGGGTAGCCGGCCTCGGGGGGGTGGCTTGCCCATCATGAGGCTAAAAGCGTTCTTGACCGACCGCTCGGCCTCCTTTGGCTTCGCGGGAGCAGGCTTGCCTCGTGTTGGCGCTGGCTTGCTCTCCGTAGCAGGTTCTTTCTTGACACTACTCGATCTGGAAGAACGCGTGCTGCGGCTCGTCGACGACGCATTTGCTGTTCGTGGCCTCAGTAAGACGCTCCACGACCTTGTTTTCTAGATACGCGCGCGTATCAACGTTCTTGTCGTTGATGACGTTGTACAAGTCCGTTTGCTCCTTAGTCATGGGCGCATACAAGACATACTCGCGCTTCTTCGGGAGATATTTTGCCACATCCGCCTTTATCCTCCGGAGAAGCAGGGGCTGCAGCACCACGTGCATCTTCTTGACCAGTTCCTGCTTGGTCTTGTCGGCGATGAATTCCTCGGTGCCCTCTTCATCTTCCAGATCGCTGAAGTCAAACCAACTCTCGAACGCCTCCCAATCGCGGAAGATCTTGGGCAGCAAAAAGTTGAGCAGGGACCACAACTCCTTCAAGTTATTCTGCAACGGGGTGCCGGTGATGAGGAGACGGGTGGCCGAGGTGAAGGATTTCAGCTCCCGGAAGAGCTTCGAGTCGAAGTTTTTCATGCGGTGGCCCTCGTCAATGATGATGAACTCCCAGTTGATCTTGGACAAGGCGGCCCGGTCCTTGAGAACCATCTCGTAGCTGGTGCACACCACGGGGAACTTCTCGGTTGGCCTTCCTTTGTGGAGATGGCGCATGATCTTGGACTTGAAGATCTCGTCGCGTTGCTGTGGCGTACCGTGGTACATGACAACTGGTATTGAGGGAACCCATTGGTGGAACTCATCCAGCCAGTTGGATAAGGTGCTCAAGGGGGCAACGATGAGGTGTGGGCCGAGGTAGTTCTCCTGCTCACGAAGCAGCGCGATTAGGGATATTGTTTGCACGGTTTTACCTGCCACATGTCAGTTTTGAGTCCCCCGTGGGAAGGCTGCTTGGACATACCCAGCCCCATCTCGTCAGCCAGGATCCCGCTCATGCCCTGGATACAAATCTCGTACATCCAGGTCAGACCCTCAAGCTGGTAATCTCGCATGATACCACCAACGAGGCACTTTGGCTGCTTCGCCATGGTCAAGTCATGTTCGCCAATGGTTTTGCCGTCTAGACTTGTGCCAACACGGCCCAAAACTTTTGTCTTATTCGTGAGGATGCTGCTGAAGGCCGCGCTTTGGGCCAGGAGCTGATCCAGGTCCTTCGCCTTGGATTCCCGCTCCCTCTTGCTCAGATCCCGCTTCTTCCACTTCTTCCTACGCTTGTCTTCGGCCTTATTGTTTTCTTCGCGTGCCTTCTCCTCCTCAGCAGCGAGGATTTGCTCCTCCCGCAACTTGGTGTAGCTCATTTTGGACTTGTCCCTTGGTGGACTGGCCGGAGAGGCTGGTGGTGGTGACGAGGGGGCGCTGGCGGGAAGTCGTGAGACGGAACTGGCAGAGTCGCCATCGGATGAAGAGATGTACGGCATCGCCGGAGCAGGTAGGCAACGGAGTAGAAAAGGGGTTTAGGTAGCCAATGGGTAGTGATTATGGAGGACACTGCGAAATTGGAATTTTTGGAAACCACGAGTGGGAGCTAGATTGTGGGCAAGTGCAGAATCATTGAACACTAAAGAAAGTGCATGGAGGCAATTCTGGTAATCTTGAAAACCCAAACTTGGGAGCATTGAGAGCAAATGGGACAGAGTGAAGAGACAGCTGAGGCAAGGGCGGGAGTGGGTCTGTCAATGAAAGGCGCGCGATTCACGCGACAGCCGATCGCCACTGCGATCGAAAACGCGTCAAAGCTCTGCGCGCTGTCACGAGCCAGGGCGGGCAGCCCATTAACTCAAGTGCTTTTTCACCCCTTGCACCCACATTGGCCCCAAACCCTTGGCACAAGCAACCCTGACCAAGCCTGCCTATCTCTGCCCCTCGTCTTGACTCAATCAATTGCCCCGCATTTCCAGTCAGGTCAAAATTGTCGATTTCACCCCACCATCGTCTGCCGAACCAGCAGCTCCAACACCAAAAACTGTCCAACACTGTCGCGCCTCTAATTTTTATTACCTGTACTTCGAGCACCCCGTCAATCCGCCAGACTGTCCTCCCTCCGAGCCGCCGCGCGCCCTGTAGCCGCCCTGCGAAGCGTCCCTCCGCTCCGCCAAGTTCCATTCCGGCCCCTCAACACCATCTCCTTGTCCAACCCGCGCATCATGGCAGCACTCGACACCCAAAAGTACACTCCCGCCGAGGAGGCCGAGATCCAAACCTGGCTCGACAAGGCTACCTCGCTCAAGGTGGCCGCCTCCGATGCCCTCCTCGACACCCTTAACACCGATCTCGCAACCCGCACCACCGCCATCGGCACCAAACCTAGCAAGGCCGACGTCGCCCTGTACGAGTCGCTCGCCCCTCTTGTCAAGGCCTGGACCCCGGAGCAGCGCACCGGCGAGCAGGGCCGTCCCAACATTGTGCGTCTCGTCGACTTTGTGCAGAACAGCCCGCTATTCAGCCTCAATATCGCCGATGCCGACAAGGTGCAGGTCGACGCCGAGGAGATCCTCTACGTGAAGCCGCCTGTCGATGCCAAGGCCGAGAAGGAGCGCCTAAAAAAGGAGAAGGCCGCTGCTGCCGCCGCCGCCGCAGCTGGCGGAGACAAGACCTCTCGTGGACCGGACAAAGGAGGCGGCCAACACCGTGGTAGAGAAGGCGGTCGAGGCGAAGGACAATGGTCGTCGAGGCCGTTGCCGGCGAGGGCGCCGCCAAGAAGCAAAAGAAGGAGAAGAAGGAGCGCGCTCCTAGGCAGCCCGCGCCGCCGCCAGCGCCGACTGTCATGTCGCCCTGCCTCATCGACCTCCGCGTGGGCCACATCCTCAAGGCGATCAAGCACCCGGAGGCCGACTCGCTCTACGTCTCGACCATCGCCATGGGCGACGCTCCTGGCATCGACGACACCACCTATGTCGACGTGCAGGTGGTGCGCACGGTGTGCTCGGGCCTGAACGGGCTCGTCCCGCTCGAGGAGATGCAGGGCCGCAAGGTGGTGGTCGTGTGCAACCTCAAGCCCGTCAAGATGCGCGGCATCAAGTCGTCCGCCATGGTGCTCGCCGCGTCGCCCAAGATCAAGGAGGGCGAGGCCGACGACCACAAGGGCCCCGTCGAGCTGGTCAACCCGCCCGCCGACGCCAAGGCCGGTGAGAGGGTCTACTTTGAGGGGTGGCAAGGCGAGCCCGAGAAGGTGCTCAACCCGAAGAAGAAGATCTGGGAGACTTTCCAGCCTGGCTTCACTACCACGGATACGCTTGAGGTGGCGTTTGATGCGGGCGTGGTTGAGGCATTGGAGGGCAAGACCGGGCTGGGTAAGCTGGTGACGGCGAGTGGTGGTGTATGCAAGGTCGCCTCGCTGCAGGGCGCCCAGGTGCGGAAAGAGGGGATGGTTCTAGGTGTAGGGAGATACCAGCAGCAC